GACTAATTAAATAAATCAGTGTCCCATTGTGATGTGTCTGTGTGACACCCAGGTATGATTGTAAAATTGAAAATCGGAATTCACACTGCTGTCATTTCAAAGCCACTCGTCCGACAGCTGTTAAAATTATTCAAGTGAGAGATCATTACATTGTTTGCAAGCGTAAAAAAAGCATTTTGGTGAGAATTTTCCAGAAAAAAAAGTTATTCGTGGTGGAATTCAAGCGTGATAGTGCGATTTCTTTATATTTGGCTGGAAAACCACAAATGACTATCGTTACAGCACTCCAGCATTATGTGAATAAATCTTTTGTGTCTCGTTACCGTGATACTGGTAGCGTAGCCCGACGTCAAGGAAGTGGCCCGACGTTGTTCAGCAGTTTGTAAACAAACAAAATGATAGTGTTTACTTGCCGAAGCAGTCAGCTGAAAATGTGCATCTTCGGTTGGCCACCAGAACTTAAGCGCCGGCCATGGTGATGGTGTGGGCCGCCATAACAGCCGATGGTCGCTCTTCGCTCGTATTAATCGACCGTGGCATCAGAATGGATGTCGAATATTATCGCGAAAATATTCTGGAGGGTGTATTAAAGCCTTGGGCACGCAAATATTTTAGCCGCAGATCTAGGACATTCCAACAGGACTCAGTACCATCGCACACGCCACCCAAGGGGGTTCATACGATATTCTGAACCTATAGAGATAATTCCCTTTCAGGGGGTAAAGTGCTCGCAAAGAACCCCTTGTGTAGAATTTTAGACAATTCCGTTAAAAAATGCGGCTAAAATCATCAAAATACCGAATGTCGGGGGGCAACGTTATATGGGAGCTATACGATGTCGTGGACCTTTATAGATAGTTATCTTCCAAGGGATAAAGTACTCGCAAGGAACTCCTTGTGTAGAATTTCAGACAATTTCGTTCGAGAGTGTGACTAAAATCGTCAAAATACCGCATATCGGGGGGTACCGTTATATGGGGGCTATATGATATCGTGGACCGATATAGCCCATCTTCGAACTTGACCTGCCTGCAGACAAAAGGGAGATATGTGGAAAATTGTAGCTTTCTATCTTAATTAGTTTTAACTGTAGCGTGATTACAACAGACGGTCTAAAATGATTATTTCGATGAGTTACAAACGGAATGACGAACTTAATATACCCTCCATACTATGTATGGTGGAGGATATAAAAATACCAAAATGTCGATCACCTCTAGCAAGCTCTTCGCCAGGAATGGACAAAAATACTGCAGAGCAACATTCGGGCAGCGTGTTGCGGTTTCATTGGCCATTTGAAGGCCATAATTCGTGCTAAAAGTGACCAATTCGAACATAAACTAAACTTATTCTAAAATTGGATGCCATTTCCGACATTTTTTGTTTTCATAAATAAAATTTAAAAAAATGTAAAAATTATGGCATTTGACTTTATTGCAGTTTTTTATCTCACCCTGTTAATTTCAATTTAACCACTAAAAATATAAACATTTCTAAAATTCTTTCAATTTTAGTTAAACTAATAATTTATATACCCAAATATATTAGTTTGGCCTTAATTGATTTATTTCGAAATGTTATTTTTGATAAATTATCCAAATAATCTGTTTTAATTCATTCGAAATTAGTGTTGAACCAACAGAAAGCAATAATAAATGTGAATTATTCATAGTTAATTGTATTAAATAACAAAACAATAACAATTATAATAAATATTTCGCGTTTATTATTACACCACACATGGCGACGAACTCACACACACACTCACACGCACATACATTCCCATATTGAATTTGTGTGAAATATTTATTTTCAATGTTCGTTTGGGCTACGTGAAATTGGAAAATCGACAAAAAACACACACAACAAACAATGACAGCAATAACAATAATAATAATAGATAATTTAATTACACTTAATGTTCGACTAAATACAAACAAAATGAATTACAAATAACTGAAATTAGTTGTTACGCTTTATTTTAGATGTCAGTTCTAAATCAAATTCAGAACACAAAAACAGCAAATGATAACAACAACAACACACTGCCATAGCTAGAGAAAAACCACAAACAATTAACGAATAACATTTTTATCAACAATCATGAAAATGCATAAATAATGGAGCACCGCATGAGGAGGCGAAAATCGTTTATAAATTGTAACTGAAATTGTTTTTTTTTTTTTTAGAAAATTAATTCTATGACCAAATTTTTTGAGATTAATAATGAAAACATTAGGGAGGATCGGTTTAAACTTTATTTTGCTAAGAGTTCAAAATTCCATATTTCAGATGTGCAAGGATTGTATCTCCTATGCCTGCGATCGAATTGGCACACCGTTACGTAGACCACAGCATTTGACACTGGCAGTACTAGGTCCAACCAAGGTAATTTGAATAGGAAGCGGAAAATCTCCCACATAATTTTCCGAAGCGCATATAACTATGGGACATGAATAATTGGGTTGTAAAATTGGAATTAGCTATATCATCGCAAATGAGTCAGTAGAGAAAACCACAAAAAAGGGTTTGAGTCCGTAGATCAACCTTTTTTTTAAGGCTCGATAGAGTAAAGACCATATAAGGTTTTGAGTCCTTAGACCGAACTTTTTTCATAGCACCCTTTAAACCAAGATAAAAGGGCTCGAAAGTCTAGTATATTGGAATTCATTACAGATTTTTTGATAACCTAGAATTATTCGCATCGCAACTAAATTCAGTCCTCATTTTGAAGTATATTTGTAGTTTTGGCATATTTTACAAGATATTGTGATGAACTTTGAATCTTTGGATCCTCATGAAGAAAGACCTTACCCTACAAAAACAAAAAAAAAGCTGTAAGCTCGGCCGGGCTGAACTTTCAATACCCTCCATCATTAAGGACCATTTGGGGTCTATACCAAAACGTGGACCTGCTCAGACAATTTTCTATCATAGGCTGTAGTATCCATTACGAACTTCAAATAAGAAAATTAAAACAATTCCGGTGAATAATGTCACTAAAATCGTCAAAATATCGGAGATAGGGAGGCACCATTATATGGTGGCTACACAATGACGTAGACATATATAACCAATTTTTCGTCACAAACTGTAGTAACCATTACGAACAATCATTACGAAGTTTGAAACCATTCCGGTGAAAAATGTCGATTTAAAAAATAAACTGAACAAAGTCAAACGCCATAATATTTAATTTTTTTTTTTTCAAATTTTATTGAATGAAGGCAGAAAATGTAAGAAATAGCATCAAATTTTAGCATAAGTTTAGATCTGTTGGAATTGGCCACCTTTGGCACGAACCAAACGGCCAATGAAATCGTCAAATGCTTCCCGAATGTTGCTCTGCGGTATTTTGGCCCATTTCCGGCGAAGCGCTTGTTTGAGGTGATCGACATTTTGGTATTTTTTAGTGCCAAACTTGGACAGACACAATAGTCCACCGGATTGGTATCCGGAGATTTTGGTGGCCATTGTGAGCTGGAAATGAAGCGAGGAACCTCATTTGCTGCGTGCGGAGTGCGATGGAGCTGAGTCCTGTTAGAATATCCAAGGTCTGCGGCCAAAATGTTTGCATGCCCAAGGCTTTGATACGCCCTCCAGAATAGTTTCGCGATAATATTCGGCGTTTATTCTGATGCCACGATCAATTAATATAAGCGGAGAGCGACCATCGGCCCACACCATCACCATGGCCGGTGCTTCAGTTTTGGTTTCCAACCGAAAGTGCACATTTTTACCTGATCTCTTTGGCAAGTAAACACGATAATTTTGTTTGTTTACAAACTGCTGGACAACGAATGTTTTCTTATCGGAGGCAACCAAATTCGACAGTTCACCACTTTCGGCCAACCGAAGCAACTCTTTAGCTCTTTTGAGTATATTTTCTTTCTGTTGCGGTGTAAGTTTTTGCACATTTAGGAATTTCAATGGCTTTACCCCGAGCTCATTTTTCAAAATTTTCCGAATGGAATATTGCGATGTGTTCAGCTCACGAGCCATTTTTCGCCCACTGCGACGCGTGTTTCGATCAAGTCGCTTCAGTGCTTTTCGAACCATTTCTGCTGATGTTGCTGTTTTCTTCCGTCCACTTTTTTGACGTCGGGCTACGCTACCAATATCACGGTAACGAGCGGTGGTATTAAACACAAAAAATGTTATTCACATTTAAATGCTGGAGTGCTCTAACAATAGCCACTTGTGGTTTTCCAGCCAAATATAAAGAAATTGCACTATCACGCTTGAATTCCATCAAGAATAACTTTTTTCTGGAAATAACTTTTTTCTTAGAAATGACAGCAGTCTAAAGTTAGTTGCAGTTTTTTCATATCACCTGAACTTTTTGGTATAGTGGACCATAACCTATGAGATGGCAAACCATTACTTATTTTACACTTTATTCATATTTTTCATTCAATTTGCAAAAATTTTGAAATTTTGAGATGTTATAATGTCTAAACACAACTGACAACAATTTAAAAATATGGGTCAATATTTTAGTACAACCCATACATACATTTCCCTTCTGATTTAAGTTATTCTAAAAGTCTAAAGCATTTTCTATATTTTCTAATCAATTTGGCTTAAACTTAGTTTCTTAACTTGTTTTTCCTGTAATTTTTGAAAATTAAATAGTTTTGTCGCACAGTGATTTCCTGTATCTATGGAAAATGTTGAATTTTGTCTCACAGTATTAACAATTAATACTACTTATTATTACTTATTTACTTTTTTCTTTAGCGATGGAGAATTATTAAATAAAAATCAGAGCAAGAAAATTGAAATTATTCACTTGAATCGCTGTTGTTGGTTTTAATATCTGTCCAGATGAGTGATACCTATAATTGCTGACGTGTGTAATGAAGTTGAATTCCCCCCTCTCACACATGCAAATCGATATAGGTTAACATTTAATTACTTTAATTAACCTATCACAATTCTCAAGTATTCCAATTATTTTTACAAAACATCTTGACAGATGAACAAAAACTTAAAGCTAATTTTTAGCAGCTATAAATCGAACAAATTTCTGGGAAATTGTAACAGTTTCTCATCAATTCTCAACGTAAGTGGAAATCAGAACTAGCCAATCTAAAATGAAAATATTCTACGTTTGTATCTGTTTTGCCTTCCTGGCTGTGACATTTGTCCAAGTAAGGATCTTAAAATCTCCAAATTTTGTAAAATTACTAATTATTTTCATTTCTCGTAGGCCAATTTAAATGAAGAATTGGAAAAACATGCCGAAATCTGCACCGAACAATCAAAGGTCACACCTGAAGAATTAGAAAAATTCTTCGCCAATGGCATGCAGGCGCAGGATGCCACCGATCCGGTTAAATGTCATTTCAAATGCATAATGGAACAGAATCAATTTTTCGCTGATGGCAATTTAGAGAGTGAAGCTATCTTGAAATATTTAGAGGCCAAGGAATCGATGAAGGATCACTTGGATGATGTTGCCGCTGCCATTGCTGCTTGTAATAATATGAAAGTTGAACACGACTGTGATGGAGCCTTTAAGTTAATCGAATGCTTTGGTTACACTGATGCTGGTAAAATGGCATTTGTTGCCTAGATAGGGGACAAGGACAAGAAGGGCGGCAATGGAGATATACAAACCGGAAGAATAATAATTGTTTTCACGACAAGAGAAGTAGCGTTTAAGGAATATAATATATTTTTTATCTAATTAATATGTATAATCAATCCATAACAATAAAGGTATTATCCTGTGCATGAAGCTGGATCTTTGAATGTCGGAGGGAATTTTAGACATTGGCGTAAGATATTTTTTAAAAGTCAGTAAAGTTATCTGATGTTTTCAACCAATTTGGAACAAAATACCGAATTGTAGCAAAATCCGTTCAATTTGTTGTGTCAATCATAATTTTGCCTACAAGAAATATATGTAGAACAATTTTTACCCCAGGTTGACTCCCAATTATTGTACAAAGTTTTTTGTACACAAGCAAGTGCCCGCTACTTCGTCAGCGAAAAATCCAACTTAAAATGTTAGATTATCTACACAAAATGTACTATTTATCGAATTTGACTAAATATTTTAATCAAATCTTTATATATCGTTTCATACTTTCAATATTAAAGTTTTTTTCGAAAAGAATAATGGGAAAATTTTTACCTTTTACACTAAAAACTCTTCAAAATCATTCATTTTGAAGTTTAAAAAGGAGCCTACTAGGTGAACCCTTGTACAATTGTATCACATCCAATTTTTCTGTACAAATCAATTTTAACGTCTTTTCATAAAGAAATTTAAACACCGCCATATTTAAATCCCAGAAACCCACAGTGACCTCAACATCAAATTTTAGGATTCAAGCTCCATTTATTCACTCAACGGCCATATTTATTACCATTTAGTACTTTCTGAACAATCATAGTACTCATTTCCAAATCTACCTCCTCCTTTAAAGACTATATAACAAAAGTGGCCATCATATCAGTTTTTAGAATTCCAGCTGTTTCTTAAGACCCAATGTCAAATTTACTTCATATTTTCGTACAGTAATAATAGGCATGACCAAAAACCAACTCTATCCACCATAGGCACAACAGTGACACTGTTACCAAATTTCAGAATTTCACCTCTATCTCAACCTCCCATACCTACAGTGACTTTATCATCAAATTTAACGATTTCAGCTCTTTAATTTCCTCCACTACCAGATTTAGTACAATTAAAGAAGGTATATACAAAATCACCTCCTTCTCTCAACTACCACACCAACAGTGTCACTCTTATCAAAATTCAGAATTTAAGCTTTATTATCTCACCTAGTACCAAATTTAGTATATTTTTGTACTTTTCGAACAATGTTTCGAAAACCACATACATATCTCAAAGCCAAAGTACAAATTATTTCCCCGCTACCAAATTTAGTACAATTATAGTACGCATATCCATCACCATTTCATTCTCTAAACCACAGACTCCAATAGTAGCGCCCGTATCAAATTTCAGGATTTCAGCTCTATTTTTTCGCCCAATACAGAATATAGTACTATTTAGTACTTTTCGTGCAATTAGAGAACACTTTTCCACCTCCATAATTTAACCACAGACGCCAACAGTGACATTCATATCAAATTTCAGGACTTGAGTTCTATTTCCTCACCCAATACCCAGTTTAGTATCATTTAGTACTTTTGGTAAAATTATAGTACACATTCCTGAAACTACCTCCACATCCCAATTCCAGACACCAACGGAAACCTCAATATCAAATTTGAGGATTCCACCCTCAGCTTTTCTCCCAATACCTTATTTAGTACCATTTATTACTTTCGTACAAATATAGGACGTATTTTCAAAGCCAACTCTATATTTCAGTTCCAATTACAAAGAGACCTCAATATCAAATTTGAGAATTCCGGTCCTACCCCTTCACCCAATACCAAATTTAGTACTTTTCGTAAAAATATAGTACGCATATCCAAAACCAGTTCCGTCTCTCAACCAAAGACACCAACAGTGACATCAATATCAAATTTCAGGATTTAAGCTCTATTCCTTTATCCAGTACCAAATGTAGTACTATTTAGTACTTTTCATACAATTAATCCCACATTTCAATTCCAGATGCCAACAGAGACCTCAATATCAAATTTCAGGATTTCGGCTTTTTCCATTCACCCAATATCCAATTCAGTATCGAATTTTGGTATTCCAGCTTTATCATCTCACCCAATAACAAATTGAGTAGGAATAATTTTCAAACCACCGCCAACTCTCAACTAGTAATCAAAATTTCAAATTTCAGAATTTGTTTTCTATCCTTTCACCCAATACAAAACACATATCCAAAACCATCTCCATATATACAGGCTATACATGAATAGTGACCCTTTATATGTCAAGCACTACCTGTTTTCCCAAAACCAAATCGTACAAAATATTGTACCATGCAGTACTTATAGTACAATTAAAGTACACATTTTCAAACCACTTCCATATGTCCAGGCTACACGTGAACAGCACTCAAGCGCTATCTATTCACTCAATACCAAATTGTACCACATATAGTACCATTAAATGCTCTTTGTGCACCTGCAATACACATTTCCAAAGTCACCTCATTATCACAAACCTACCACTATCAGAAAACCCAATACCAAAATTCCAGCTTCACCCTAAGCCAAACTCTTTCAAATTGCCATTTAGTACAGTTCACACACTTAGTACATGATTCTAAAACCACCTGCACATATATCAAACAAGCTTTCCAACCTTGATTCTCACAACAAACTACAAGTTTTTAACTATATCCATTCACATAATACCTAAGGGTACCATTTTAGAAGTTTAGTACCATTTTAGCAGTTTAGTATAATTTCAGAACTATTCGTAACCTTAAAGTTAGGATTTCAAGAAAAAAACCTTTGGTACTTCTATCCTGCACTCCTTCAGAGACTGTCATTTCAAATTTCGGAATTCTAGCTCATTCCGTGTTTTCAATACAAAGTATTTAATTTTTAGTACATTTTAGTACTATTCATACCGTTTTAATACGAAATTCCTTTCTGATCAAAATTTCCAAACATCCAATCAGTCACTTCACTACCCTTTTATATATCACGACAAGACTTTTCTCGAGACGGCCTTAATCATTTATATATACATAGATGACGACACTATGCGGTGATTTTTTCCCCACATTGGTGCACATTAAATTATTTCGTTATCTTCGGACTGTTTAAACGTTTTAGTCACAATACTTAGACGGGTTTTAAACTAATAATAAAAAAGGCATATAATATATCAGATCAAAGACATTGTTGGAACAAATTTAAGATTTAAAAAAAAAAATTGACAGATAATAAGAAAATGGTCAAATATTTCATTATTCTAAAGGATTTAATAAATATTTATTTCAATGCGAATGGTCCCATCGCCATATATGGGATTCATGATTTTATTTAAATATTGACAGTTGTTACCAAAAGGAGTAAATGTGTTTATCCCTATATATTTCTTTACATTAAACTTCACTTAATTTAAGTTAAAATGTTCGGATGGGCGAAGTTTGAGAAAATAAGGCTCTACTTTTCTATTATTATTAAAATTTTCCTCTATTTTGCGGCTATACCAGAAATGTAGGACCTCCTACATAATTCCAATTATAGAATTCTCATAATTAAAACTACATTATGAAAATAACTAATTTACATGGCCAATTTGCAAAATGTGCATCAAACAAACAAAAAATGAAACAATAAAACAAAAACTAATTAAATTACAACAATAATTGCAAATAATCAAATGAAAGTAATTATCAATGCTATTTGCATTGAACATTATTATTATTATTATTACATTGTTAGTTTAGAAACTATTTTTGGCCCGATGCACTTACAAAGAAAATCAAATAAATGCCAGGCAATGTAACCGATAAAGCCACAGTCACTAAATACCAGCGACATTACAAACATTTGCAACAACCCAAAAAAATAATAATAATCATTTTTAAAAACTAAAACATGCGGTTTATTCATATTTGCAATATTTTAGTTTTACTATTAGCCTTTGGATGGGTTAAGGTGAATTATGGCAGGATTAAATTTATAAAATTTAATATATAATATTTTTTTTTAATTTTTTGTATAATTTTTTGCCAGGCCGACTCTGATGAAGATTTTCAAAAAATCATTAAAACCTGTGAAATAGAAGTCCCTGTGGTCGAGGAGGATTTACAGGCTTTCATGAAAAGTAAAATGGATCCAGCAAAAGCAACACCAGCCATTAAGTGCCAGGGTAAATGTATTTTGGAAAAACAAGGCTATTTTGTAAAGGGGGTGTTTGATGATAAAGCTTTCCTGGAGAAGGCCTTAAATCATCCCGCACTAAAGGATCGCCATGCTGAAGTCACCAAAACGGTGGACATGTGTAAGACTAAAACTGGTGCCGATGATTGTGAGACAGCTTTCAATATTGGCATGTGCCTGAGAGAAAACAAGGATTTCGTTTTTGGTGAATCATCTTAAAAATTTAATTTAAAAATTTTTACTTTTATTTGCAAGTATTTATAAAGGTCAGAGAGAGAGAGAGAGAGAGTAATAATGTTAGAACTTATTGCACTTCAGATTTCAATAAAAAGCAAAAATAAATAAATAAACAAATATGTTGATCATAAGGGCATTAAAATACTATGGCACTCCCATAATGAGGTGTGATAAGTTTTTCCAGGTTTTCAATCACGTGAGCGGTTAAAGCTAAAAACCTGAAGTTCAGAATATAAATAAAGGTTGAGGAGTAGGGTTGACGAAAGGAGTTAGTTTTGGAAGTGTCTACTCATAAATACGTAACGTACCAAACGGTACTAAATTTGGTAAAATTCGAATCTGGAGGAATTGGTGGAGCTGGAATCCTGATATTTGAAATTAACATTGCTGGCGGAGAGTAGGATTGGGATATGGAGGTGGTTTCCGAAATGTGTACTTACGTTCATGTAAAGTACTAAATGGCACTAAAATTGTTTTAGAAATAATATTACTATTGCATTTTATTCGTACTGACGTGTACTAAATGGTATTAAATATGGTACAATTTATATTTTGGGAGAACCAATAGAGATGGAATCCAGAAATTTGGAAATAAGATTACTATTGCATTGTAGGACTGATGTATGTGGGTTATTTTGGAAATTCGAATTTGATACATATTAAATTTTGGGAGAACCGTTAGAGCGGGAATCCTGAAATTTGGAAATAAAATTTATATTGGATTTTATGATTGAGGTAGTTATAGAAATGTGAACTTATGTGTTCTAAATTTGGTACAGTTTGGATTTCGGTGAGCAAATACAGAAATTTGGAAATAATATTAATGTCCGATATGGAGGTAGTTTTTGAAATGTGTACTTACATGAATATTTGTTACAGGTTGTTATGGAAATACGGCTTTTCTTTTGTGTACTATATTTGGTAAAAATTGGGATAGTAGTGAATCAATAGAGCTGGAAACTGAAAATAAAATTTCTTTGGGATTTTATAATTAAGGTATGGAGGCAGTTTTAGAAATTTGGAGTGTAGGGTGAAGGGATAGGGCTGGAATCCTCAAATTCCGTTGGTATCTGGAATTAAGATATGAGGGTGGTTTTGAGAAATGTGTTATATATCTGTACGAAAAGTACTTAATTGCATAAAATGTTGTATTGGGATAAGGGATAGGACTGACATTCTGAAATTTGATACTGAGATATGAAGGTTTAGAAAATGTGTACCAAATAGTACGAAATTTGGTATTGGATTAAGTCCCCACATTTGATATTGAGGTCTCCGTGGCCTATATCTGTTCCAAAAGTACTAAATGGTACGAAATGTTGTATTGGGAGACGGTAAAGGCCTGGAATCCTGGAATTTGATATTAAGGCCATTGTTAGTAGCTAATGTTGAGATATTGAGGTGGTTTTGCAAATACGTATTATAATTGTACAAACATTACTAAATAGTACTAAATTTGATATTGGGTAAAAGGGTAGAGCTGGAATCCTGAAATTTGATGTGTATGTTACTGTTGGTGACTTGGGTTGAGAGATAGAGGTGATTTTGGAAATTCGCAGTATGAACGTACGAAAGGTGTGAAATTCCACAAAATGTACCGTTTGGTGTTGGGGGAGAGATATGGAATTCTGAAATCTGGCATCGAGCTCAATGTTAGTGCCTTGAGCGTAGGTGATGGATTTGGACATGCGTAGTGTAACGATACGAAAAATATGGGAATAAATTTTGGATTGGTTTTTATGATAGACCTGGAATCCTGAAATTTGATATGGTTGCCACTGTTGGTATATAGTTACGAGAGAGGGAGATGGGTTTGGGAATGCGTACTATGATCGTTCGAAAATTAATAAATGCTAACAAAATTTGCCGTTGAGTGAATAGGTAGAGTTTGAATTCTGATATTTGATGTTGAGGACACTGTTGGTTCATTGGATATGGTGGTGGACAATTTTTACTATAAAAAGACGTTGAATAGTTTTGGCCAGAAAAAAGTGGATGTGCAAGGCTTTAACTAATATTCTCTTCGGTAAACTTTAAAAAGAAAGATTTTGAATACTTTTTGGTGAAAAATGATTCCACAATTCCTTTAGAAAAATGAAAAAAATTAATATGAATAAAGTGTAATCAAAATGGCACAGGTGAAATTGTGAAGTGAAAATATTTTTAGGAATTCTTAAAGATAATCTGATGGTATGATATATATAATTTTTTCAATGAATTCGTCAACTCAAGGATATAAAGGAACCGAATTGGGTTCATGTAGTGAAATAGGCCCCTTTTGTCGTTGTTGTTTATTTGACATAGTCGTTCGGAACGTTTTATATTTGTTTATACTTCAGTTAGTACCTTATATTGAAACTTGAAAACTCCCACCCCTAATATTATTACCCTACAGTTGTTCCAAATCATTCTTAAGACTCTCATAAGAAATTACGTTGTCATGTTATTATTTTGATGCAGAGTTGATTTTGTATGTGAAACTTTAAAAAAAAAAAACTTAATTTAATTTGACACATGACTGAAAACACTAAATCTCAATCAAGCTAATATTTGGGCAAATTTTGGAGTATAAAAACTTTTTGTGGGTAATTATATAAATTAAAGCAAAAACACGGTTTAAAACACAACAATAATGATCATTATAGATCGGCAATCAAACACTTGTGGAGTTTGGATGATTTTTAAAAGTCATATAAATATTCTACGAATTTTACTAATTTTAACAGAGTTAAATTCAAACAGGATTAGCAACAATGAACTTCCCTCTTATTGCCACAATCTCTTTAATATTGTTTGGAGCATGTTCAGTGCAGGTAATATTTCGCAATTCACAAAAAAAAAAAAAAAAATGAAAAATAAAGTAAATTCCAATTGTCCTACCCCATTAGGCCGACATGGACGACATTCTTGCCTCGATGCGTGCATGCCACGAAACCCATCCAACATCGGTGGCAGAAGTTGAGAAATTTATAAACGATAAAAATGCCGAGTTTGGCGATGTCTTTAAATGTCATGTCAAATGCGTTTTGGAAAAGGAAAATGCCTTTAAGAATGACAAATTTGATGATCAGGCCTTTGTAAAATTATCTCTGGAGATTCCGGAACTGAAAAATCGTCAAGCTGACATTCAGAAGGCCGCTGAAGAGTGTAAAAACGAAAAGGGAGCAAATGAGTGTGAGACGGCATACAAAGTGGCCAAATGTCTTATTAATCATAATGTCATTATTTTCGTGGATAATGGAAAGAAAGTGTAATGTGAAAAAAGTGTGTTAAATATTCGGAAAAATATGAATTATAAATTGGAAGAAAATAGTAAAATTTTCTTTTAAAGAAATATATACCAATACCAACTTGTCTATTGGGATGTTCAAAATTTAGAAAAAAATCAAACAAATTTTCCAATTTTATGCAAATAATTCTTCATCAACATTTCAACCATTTTTGGGGAGATATGAGAAGGAATGGACCGATAAATTCCATATTCGCATCACATCCCTAGCTGAGAAAAACTCTTAGATATACCAAGTTTGAAAAGAATCGCTGACTTCTGTCGCAAGTTAGGAGCGATATTTGTATTGAACTGTTACCCTTTGTGGGGGAGGTACCGGATGGGGTGGACCAATATATCCCATCTTCCCAGTAGATCTTGCGTTAGTAAAAATTTAATAATGCTTCTAATACCATCAAAATTCAAAATATAGGGAGGTGCCGTTATGTGTAATCTATATGAAGAATGGGACCTTCATAGACAATTTTCGTTATAAGCTGTAGTACCAATTACGAACTTTAAATACGAAATTCCTATAAAACAAGTTAAAAAGTATCTGTCGGTATTGCCGACAGATATATACCCTCAGCCTGTGTTCGATTATTTAAATATAATTTGACTAGTGTTACAATTATTCAAACGTTTGACCCTCTATGGAGCAGGTTCCGAAGGAATGGGCCATTACTGTCCATTTCGTGTCGGACCCAAAAATATGATATAAATATTCCGACGTTCCTGGTATATTATATGAGATATGTAATAATTTTTAGAAAGTGTTAAAATGTGCGTTAGTTACAAGATAGAGTCTACGGAAATATTCCACTTTTATACTTCATCTGATACAAATAAAAAATAATAAGCGAAATGTTGGGCAAACTTACAAGAAAGGATATTTATATCCAATTTTATGCGAAATCATAAATACCGATAAATTTCATATTCATATCGGGCTTCTTGAGAGAAATATTTGACATAGCAAGTAGTAAAGTATTGCTAAATTGTTTCGAAAGTTATAACATATACAATTATTGAAAATTGTGACCCCAGAAGGGGTTGGCAGATATATATCAACTTCACAACAGATCTTGTGTTAGCAAAAATATTTGTGTGTGTGAAATTTGAAGAGAGTTGGATATTTATTTCGCTTTATTTGAGTGTTTTTTTTTCAAAATCTTGAACCCTATGTATGGGGGAGAAGAAATGGTTCAATCTATACCACCTTTATAACAGATCTTGTGTTGATAGAAATATTGAGATGTGCCAAGACTAAATGGAATCGGATATTCATTTGGCGTTTTATGAGCTTCATGGGTATTCAAAATTTCGACACTTTGTGGGGGAGGTACCAGAAGGAGTGGACTGATACATCCCATGTTAACACCAGATCTTGGGTTTATAAAAATATTGAAATGTGTGAAATTTGAAGACGTTCGGATCCTTACATCACATTATTCAAGAGTTATAATTATTCAAAATGTTGACCCTTTGTGGGGGAGGTACTTGATGGAGTGGACCGATACTGTCCAATTTCGCACCCGACCTAGCACTGACGCAAATATTAGAATTTGCAAAGATAGAGCAAAATTGGCTAATCGTTTCTCTTTCTGTGCAAAAAATATATTTTATATATATTTGTTTTGAAAATTTTGACCTTTTGTGGGGGAGGTACCAAAAGAAGTGGACCGATGCATTGCCTTTTAACTCCAAACCTTGTGTTAATAAAAATATTGGGATATGTGAAATTTGAAGACAGTCGAACTCTTACATCACATTTTATAAGAGTTGTAATTATTCAAACTTTTGATCCTTTGTGGGGGAGGTACTACATGGAGTGGACCGATATTGTTCATTTTCGCACATAACCTAGCATTGATGAAAATATGAGGATTTGCAAAGTTCGAGCAAAATCGGTTTATAGTTTCTCTTTTTGTGCAAATAATAATATTTTGAAAATTTCGACCTTTTGTGGGGGAGGTACCAGAAGGAGTGGACCGATACATTCCGTTTTTGCACCAGACCTTGGGCTAATAAAATTATTGGGATGTGTGGAATTTGAAGACTATCGGACTCTTACATCACATTTTATAAGAGCTTTAATTATTCACAATTTTAACCCTTTTTGGGGGAGGTCCCTGATGGAGTGGACCGATATTGTCCATTTTCGCACATGATCTAGCAATATGAAAATATGAGGATTCGCAAAGTTCGAGCAAAATCGGATTATCTTTTCTCATTCTGTGCAATAAATTATTTTCTTTGAAATTTTTGACATTTTGTGTGGGAGGTACCAGAAGGAGTGGGCCGATATTGCTCATCTCCGAACTCGATCTAAGTTTGACAAAAATATTAAGATGTACCAAGTTTGAATCTAATTGGATACTCCCTTCGAGAGTTATCGTGCGCACCAGCCAGCCAGACAGACAGACAGACGGACGGACGGACGGACGGACGGACGGTCATCGGTAGATCGACTTCTAATGCTCTGAAACGGATTTGGTCCAAAGAGACCTAGGGTCTAAAACCATTATTTCGACTAGGCACGTTTTGACCGTATCAAATGATATATACCCTCTATAGCCATATGGCTGAGGGTATAATCAATTGATATATACCCTCTATAGCCATATGACTGAGGGTATAAAAATTCGTTAAAATTATAAAAATAGTGAATATCGGGGGTACCGTGTATTTAAGGAATTCCTAGTGTGCATTTGAAACTATTCTATTGAAAAAATGTGACTAAAATCATTAAAATACCGAATATCTTCCAGGGTAAACTACTATGGAGAAACTCCTGGTGTAGATTTTTATAAAATTCCATTGAAAATGTGGCTAAAATCATCAAAATACCGAATAAGGGGACCGACATTTAGGATTTACAAGTAGTGGACCGATATATCCTATCTTTACACTAGATCTTGAGTTGACGACAATCGAGCCCGTATTTTATTTATTTATATTTATTTAATTTAAAATGTATTTTATTTAAAATGTTGACCCTTTGTTGGGGAGTTAGATTATGGACTTGGCCGATGTTGTCAATTTTCGTATCCGACCTAGTACTGACAAAAATATTGGGATTTGTAAAGTTTAAATAAATTTGGATGATGCTGATGATGTTACGATCTACCAAGTTAGGACTAATTGGCATACTACATTAGAGGATTTTCGTGCGCACACAGCCAGCCAGGCCGACGTACAGTAGTACGGACACCCCTATATCGACTCCAAATATTATGAAACGGATTTGATCTAAGGAGACCTAAGGGCCTGAAACCAGCATTTCGATTATGCACGTGTTGACTGTAGCAAAAGTTAGGTGCTTGGAAATCGAAAATGAGCCCATTATGGTGTACTAAGACCCACATACTACATTATAGCCTAAAACTTTGCATTTCCGAAATTGTGCAGTATGTTTATCTTTTATAGTTCCGATGATATTAGAAAAGTTATAAAGTTTAGAAAAACTATGGATTGCGTAGCCCCAAGGGAGAAAATCTCAAACTCCGACGGAGGCCGTATAAGTAAAAAAAAAACTATAAAAGTAAGATATATGCATTTTGTACATATCAGTGTTGTAGAGCCGGAAAAAAACACCGGATTATGTATCCGAACTTTTGGGTCGAATAACCAGGAATTGCCCCCACAAAAAATTACTTTGCGGTAATTAGGTTAACAATACCTACTCCACAATGGGGTTTATATCCGCTACTTTCTGGGGATTGTGAAAGATTTTTTTTTTGACATAGTTCAAACTCCGTTATTGGGATTGTAACCTAATAACAATGGTCATAAACCGTTGAAAGTAGCGGATGATAACGGGGATTATATTTTTATACCCTCCACCATATTTATTCATTTAGTTTGTCATTCCGTTTGTAACACCTCGAAATTTACATTTTAGACCCAACAAAGTATATATGTTCTTGGTCAGCATAAAATTCTATGTCGACTTAGCGATGTCCGTCCGTCTGTGGAAATCACTCTAGCTTCCGAACCAAATGAAGTAGATTGATAAAATTTTGCTCAAATGTATATAATATCTGCAGGACTTTTGGTTTGAAAATAGGCCATGTAGGTCCACGTTTTGGTTTAGCCCCCATATAACGGTACCTCCCGATATTCGGTATTTTGATGATTTTAGCGACATTATTCACCGGAATTGTTTATAATTTGGTATTTGAAGTTCTTAATGAATACTACAGCCTACGACAGAAAATAGTCTGTCCAGGTCCACGGCTTCTATGACGGTACCTCCTGATATTCGGTATTTTAATGATTTTATGGACATTTTTTTTACCAGAATTTTTTCAAATTTGGTATTTGATGTTCAAAATGGATACTACTGCCTAAGACAGTACCCCCCGGTATTCGGTACTTTGTTGATTACAGCGACATTATTCACCGAAATTGTTTCAAATTTAATATTTGAAGTTTGTAAAGGATACTACAGCATATGACACGAGATGGTCTGTGCAGGTCCACGTCTTCGTATAGCGCCCATATAACGGTACCTCTCGATATTCGGTATATTAATGATTTTATGGACATTCTTTCACCAGAATTGATTATAATTTGGTATTTGAAGTTCGTAATGAATACTACAGCCTACGACAGAAAATAGTCTTTCCAGGTCCACGACTTCTTATAGCCCCCATATGACGATACCTCTCGATATTCGGTATTTTAATGATTTTATGGACATTTTTTCACCAGAATTGTTTCAAATTTGGTATTTGAAGTTCGTAATTGATACTACAGCCTATGATAGAAAATTGTCTGTCCATATTTTGGTTATATCCCTCATATAATAGTACCTCCATATATTGATGATTTTAGCCACATTATTCACCGATTTTTTTTATTTATTATTATTTTTATTATTATTATTTTTTTTTTTTAATTTTTAAGGTAGGACCTGTTTTCCTATGAAACTTAAAAAAAATTGAAAAGCTGTAAGTACAAAAGTGTTTGCTTTCGATAAAATTCTGTACCCAATATTTAATATTGCTATTTATTTTAAATTAATTAAATTAAGTGCCTGAGTTTGCCAATATATTTAATTGCCTGACAATATAAATTAAGTGCCTGTGTTTGCCAATATAAAAATGAATTAATAATTATTTAAATAATAATATAACAAAAACTCGCAATTAAATCGCATTACCACACAAAATTTGGAATATAAAAAATTTAAAAATAATAATTATTAAATTATTTACTAATTACAAAACACTAAAATAAAATTTGTATAAATTCGCAAAACGCTTTATCAAATTTAAATCTAAATCGTTTGCGCTCTCAAGTCAAAGAACAATGAGAATTCTATACAGAACTTTGTTGTGCTTAGCATTTGCCATAGAAATTATAAACGTAAGTTATTAGTCCCTGAAAAAATTATATTATTATTTATTTTTTAATTTTTAGGCCGATCTCAATTCATTTAAAGCTTCAGTTGAGCATTGTTTAAAAGAATTCCCCATAACGGAAGGCGAAATGAGACGATTTATTGAGGAAAAAGATGTGCAATTCGGTGAAACTTTCAAGTGTCACATGAAGTGTGTTTTAGAAAAGGAACATATTTTCCAAAATGGAACACTGGTTGTGGATGGATTTATTAAACATTCTCTTGAAATGGCCACCTTAAAGGGACGTGAAGATGAACTTCAGAAAATCGCTGATGAGTGTAAAGTCGAAAATGGTGTAAACGATTGTGATACTGCTTTTAAATTGGGAAAATGTCTTTTTGCACATCATACAATATTTGTGCATTAAATTAAGATGGAATAAAATTGGAAGTGAAAAAAACTAACTTTATTGTGCAATGAAATGGATACACAAAATGAAAGGAACATTTGTGAAAAAAATTAAAATTAACCAGTGTAGAAATGTCAAAAGGCGGCGGGGCGGCCGTAAAAAAAAAAACAAACTTATGTTGGGAATTTATGTGAAGAAGATCATGCCAACTATGAACCCTTTTTCAATGTCTATCATGGGTTTAGAGTAGTCACAATTTATGAACTATATCTAAATCAGCGGGATTATAATTTTCAACAAACGGGGGCTTCCTTCTGAGCTGAATTTAGCAATTGGTGCATAATAAACATGATACCGGATAACGATACATATGGGAGCTATATCCTTATCTGAACCGATATCGATAGAATTTGATAGGGGTATGTTTAAACTCCATCTGGTACCAAATATCATTCTTGTGGAGTGCATATTACGCATGTGAGGGACTTAAAACTCCGAGTCGGATAAAATATATGTACAGGGTGTAATAAAAAAACTGCAGCAAAGTCAAACGTCCAAATTTTTACATTTTTCTTAAATTTTATTGAATGAAATAGAAAATGTCGGAAATAGCAACAAATTTTAGAATAAGTTTGGATTGGTCACCTTTGGCACGAATTATAGCCTTCGGCCAGTGAAACCGTCACTGTATTTTGCGGTATTTTGGTCCATTCCCGGTGAAGCGCTTGATCAACACTTTGGTATTTTTTAGTGCCAACCTTGTTTCCAAAATACTCCAGACACAATAGTCCAACGGATTGGTATCCGGAGATGTTGGTGGCCATTGTGCCCCGGGAAGGAAGCGATGAACCCCATTTTGTAAGCATTCTTGGGTGGCGCGTGCCGAGTGTGATGGTGCTGAGTCCTGCTGGAATGTCCAAGGTCTGCGGCCAAAATTTTTGCGTGCCCACGGATTTAATACACCCTACAGAATATTTTAGCGATAATATTCGGCATTTACTCTGATGGCACGGTCGATTAATACGAGCGGAGAGAGACCATCGGCTGTTATGGCGGCACACACCATCACCATGGCCAACCTAAGGTGCACATGACCTCTTGGCAAGTAAACACGATCATATTGTTTGTTTACAAACTGCTGGACAACGAATGTTTTCTGATCGGAGAAAACCAAATTCAGGGGGTTCACTACTTTCGTCCAAGCGAAGCAACTCTTTAGCTTTTTTGAGTCTATTTTCTTTCTGTTGTGGTGTAAATTCTTGCACTTTTCGGAATTCGAATGGCTTTACCCGAGCTCATTTTACAATACTTTCCGAACGGAATATTGCGATATGCTCAGCTCACGAGCCATTTTCGGACACTGCTTACTTCTTTACTCTTCGAACCATTTCTGCTGATGTTGCTGTTTTCTTCCGTTCACTTCCTTGACTTTGGGCTACGCTACCGAGCGATGATACCAGACACAAATGATTTATTCACATTCAAATGTTGGAGTGCTCTAACGATAGGCACTTACGGTTTTCCAGAATATAAAGAAATCACACTATCACGCTTGAATTCAATGACGTATAACTTTTTTTTTTTTCTCGAAAATTCTCACTAAAATGCTTTTGTACGCTTGTAAATAATATAATGAGCTGTCACTGGAATACTTTTAACAGCTGTCGGACGAGTGGTTTAGAAATGACAGCAGTCTGAAGTTAGTTGCAGTTTTTTTTTATCTAACCCTGTGCGATATACAGGGTTACACAGGTTACAAACAAATTCACAAAGACACCACTATGTGATGTAGTGTACAAAAACAAGTAAAATAGCAGTAAGTTCGGACGGGCCAAACATTGAATACCTTCGACCAAGAAAGAAAATCAAATGTTGAAAAAAAAAATCTGTTGAAAATTTCTGTAAGAATCATAAAAATACTTATTATCGGGAGTACCGTTATATTTGCCTATACATACACCTGGACGTACATATGGAATTTTGTGTCATGGGCTGTAGTACCCATTAGAAAATTCAAGTTTAATGCATTTTCGGTGAGAATTGTGACACAAGTTATGAAATCATAAAGGGGTACCGTAAGATAGGGGCTATACGAAGATCTGGACCATATGTAATCTTCTGTAATAATGAACTTCAAATACGAAATTTGCAAAAATTCCGGTGAATAATGTCGAAAAATCATCAACATGCTGAATATATAGCCCATTTTCAATACCAAAAATCCTGCAGAGTAAACACACACCTGAGTAAAATTTTCATTCGTTCAAATTTCAATTCGTTCGGAAGCTACATTATTTCCATAACGGACAGACAGACAGTGGAACGGACGGTCATCGCTAAAAAGAAAATTCTATAGTACTTTATGCTGATCAAGAATATAAATACTTTGTAGGGTCTAAAATTTATATTTCGAGGAATGGTATAGCATGAAGTGTACATTAAGCTCCATACTATGGTGGTGGGTATAAATAAATGGAAGAGGGGGAAATTTGTACCTCTATTTAGGTTACTCTTCGGTATAAACTTTCAAAACGCCAATACACGTGTCGTCTATTTTTAGCTCTATTTGCATAATCCCTTGGGTTTTAATTGATTATAGTATTATTTAAATTGAAATTTGACAAAAACATGCGTGTAATTTAAAACTATTAACGTCTAAATTTGGCTTCTAATTAAACGTAAGTACAATAATTACTTAATTCGTTTTAAAGAGCGCCGGCTAAATACCATATAAATTTTACAAAATTCTTGCAACATCCAATAGTCATCGTTTTGCCCATCGACTAAAGACCATTAAAAATGAAGTTTCTCTACAGTGCATTGGTGTGCCTAGCTTTCTTTGCGGATATTATAATTGTAGGTTTCTGAATATCCATCCAAGGATGTAAATTAATATTTTGTTCTTATTTTCAGGCTGATTTGGAAACCTATGCCGCATCAGTTGAGGCTTGCAAAAAGCTATTTCCAGTATCAGAGGACGAAATTAAATCCTTTTATGAGAATAAAACCGTTCAATTTAGTAATGATTTTAAATGTCACACAAAATGCATATTGGAAAAGGAGCATATTTTCAAAAACGGAAAAATGGATGCAGATTCGTTTTTAAAACACGCCCTGCAAATGCCTTCTTTGAAAAACCACCAAGCTGAGGTCCTGAAAACCCTAGCCGAGTGTAAAAACATAAAGGGCAGCAATGAGTGCGATACGGCTTTCAAATTGGGAAAATGTCTGTTTGTGGATCACACTACATTTGTTCACTGATCTGAAAAAAATATTTTTAAAAATAAAATATTGATGGATTGGAAATTGACAGTTTTTTTAAGGGATTGCCCTTTTCACCTAAATCTTAACAAATATAAATAAATAAGATGCATTATTTTGTCTTAGTTTCTTCGCAAAACAATATATTACACTGTGCAACAATTTTCAGGCCAGTGCCAAATGTGTTTTTCAATACAGAGAGAGAACCCTGGAAATAGTGGAAATTTATCTCCTAATCTTCATTCATTTTCATAATTTCATTTTGATAATTTTTGTTAAGAACCCTTTCTTTTTACCAAGAACTCAAACAACCGAAATTTGTCGAAATATGGAGGGCTATAAACTAACGTAAGCCGCCATGACCTGTATAAAATTTAATGCTCCAGCTTAAATTATGCAAAATATTTGAGGATAAGGATACATATTTATAATCTGGCCTGGGAACCAAAAAGCCCTTTAAGATTTACATCTACTAACCGAGTACAATCACATCCACTTAGAATTTCCCCCGCTCAGATTTGCCGTTGCACATTGTTATATGTCAGATAATTATTTTCCCTTACTCGCATATCCTTCGTTACAATTGTAAAGGGTATCATGTCTTGGTGCATTAGTTTGTAGGATAAAGAAAATGGGATATGGTGAATATGGAAATCGCTTTTATATACAGGGTGAGATGAAAAAACTGGATTCAACTTCAGACTGCTGTAATTTCTAAGCCACTCGTCCGACAGCTGTTAAAATTATTCCAGAGACAGTTCATTATATTGTTTACTAGCGCACAAAAGCATTTTGGTGAGAATATTCCAGAGAAAAAGTTATTCGTGATAGAATTCAAGCGTGGTAGTGTAATTTCTTTATATTTGGCTGGAAAACCACAAGTGGCTATCGTTAGAGCCCTCCAGCATTTAAATGTGAATAAATCTTTTGTGTGGTATACCATCGCTCGTTACCGTGATACTGGTAACGTAGCCCGACGTCAAGGATGTAGACGGAAGAAAACAGCAACATCAGTAAAAATGGTTCGAAAAGTAAATTAGCGATTTGATCGAAACCCGCATCGCAACGACCGAAAAATGGCTCGCGAGCTGAACATTTCGCAATATTCCATTCGGCAAATATTGAAAAATGAGCTCGGGGTAAAGCAATTTAAACTCCAAAAAGTTCAAGAACTTATACCTCAACAGAAAGAAGATAGACTCAAAAGAGCTAAAGAGTTGCTTCGCTTGGCCGAAAGTGGTGAACTGCCGAATTAGTTTTTTTCCGATGAGAAAATATTCGTTGTCCACCAGTTCGTAAACAAACAAAATGATCGTGTTTATTTACCAAAGAGGTCAGCTGAAAATGTGCACCTTCGGTTGGCCACCAGCGCCGCCATAACGGCTGATGGTCGCTCTCCGCCCGTATTAATTGACCATGGCATCAGAATAAATGCCGAATATTATAGCGAAAATATTCTTGGACACGCAAACATTTTGGCAGCAGACCTTGGACATTCCAACAGGACTCAGCACGCGCCACCCAAGTATTTCCAGCGCACAATGGCCACCAAAATCTCCGGATCCGGAATCCGTTGAGCTACGGTGTCTGGAGTATTTTGGAAAGCAAATGTCAATTACCTCAAGCAAGCGCTTCGACGGGAATGTGCAAAGATCAACATTCGGGCAGCGTGTGACGGTTTCATTGGCCGTTTGAGGGCTATAATTCGTGCCAAAGGTGATCAATTCGTACAAATCTAAACTTATTCTAAAATTTGAGGCTATTTCCAACATTTTTTGCTTTCATTCAATAAAATTTAAAAAAAAGTAAAAATTATCGCGTTTGACTTTGTTGCAGTTTGTTATCTCACCCTTTATGTGGGAACTATATCCAATTCTTAGGCGATCTCGATAAAATTTAAAAAAAGGTATTTCCGAGCAAAACAACAAATATTATTGTTGTCAAATGCATATTACGAATGTGAGGGACTAAAACACTTAAGGACTTAAGTACTTGTTTCTAGGATGAATTCAGTCGGAATTGCCAAGATTCAATTCATTTGGGCTGTTCCAATTCTGATCCAATTCTGATCCGATTCCAATAAAATTTGACAAAGGTATTTCTGGGCTGTATCTTATATTGGGTACCATATATTTTTATTGTGGATTGCATATTACGAATGGTAGGGAACTTAAACCCCAAATCGATGAAGCAACTATATAAGAGCTACGGCTATATCTGAACCGATTTTCTCCAAAATTGACGTAATTGCTTCTAGGCTGAGTTCAATCGGAAGTGCCAAAATTCACTCCATTTTGGCTAATATTAGCCATTTGAAGATACATATATGGGAGCTATACCTAAATTTGAACTGATTCTCAGCAATTTCAATAGGGTTCGTCTTTGGGCCAAACAAATATTGTTTGGAAAATTTCATCTCAATCGGATAACAAATGCGACCTGTATTTTGTTAACAAAAATACATGGACAGACGGACAGAGTGACTGATATTAACAAATCGACTCAGAAAGTGATTCTATGAAGATCCTCTAAAGTAATTACGGGTCTATCTCGCTTCTTCCTCCATGTTACAAGTAAGTGTACGAAGACATAATACCGTTACCACTATGGAGTGTACGGTATAAAAAGTCACAGTTTCGTGCGGTTTCGGGGCTGTTGGCATCATACTGTGAATGATGAGCGCTACTGTTAGATGATATTGTGCTTTCAAGGTCAAAATGCGAGAGCTTTACTTACATGACATGAGGTTTCAAAAAGACGGTGTCACTTGCCTCACATAGAGTGGAATTATCCATATATTAGATGTAGAAACATATTTACGGTTGTGGTCTGATATCGGCGATACAATTACAAGGAAAATGTGCATGGCTTCGAGGATCAAATTTTAAAAATGTTAATCGAGAATTCATTTTTAAATTGAAAATTTTCTCAGGAAGTACAACAACCCTTGTGACTTATAATTTGTTAAGTATCATATAGTCTCAAAATTAAAAAAAAAAAAACATTTAATTATAAATAATTTGCATATAAATTCGGCACTTCATTTAACATAATTATAATAATTACTAAATTATTTTATCAAAACACACGCACAGAACAATGTTCATATAAATTCATCAACATTTCCCCAACTCCCACAATAGTTAAAGTTAACCTTTCAGAGTAACACACCAATGATGAAATTTCTCTACATTGGCTTGGTGTACATGGCATTCGCCATAGGAACTATAAGAGTCAGTTGATACATTTATTAAATATCAAATTATATCACACATTTTCCTTTCTTCCAGGCCGATAAGAAAAGCTTTATTGCCTCAATCGATGCCTGCTCAAAGCAGTATCCAGTCACCGAACAAGAAATGAAACAATTCGTCGAGGACAAAACCATGCAATTCAGTGAGTCTTTAAAATGTTACGTCAAGTGTGTCCTGGAAAAGGAACATATTTTGAAGAATGGAATGCTGGACACTGAAGTCTTTGTAAAAGGTGCTCTGCAAATTCCCTCCCTCAAAAATCATGAGGATGAAATTCGTAAAACTGCTGAAAAGTGTAAAAATGTAAAGGGTGTCAACGATTGTGATACGGCTTTCAAGTTGGCCAAATGTGGTTATGCCTATCATAATTTATTTGTGCATTGAGTGACATTTTTAAAGAAAAAAATATTTATAATAAAACTTTGCTATACCTATGCATTTAATTAAAGAATTGCTGCAGTTACAGTGCATATATTAATCGGTGTTGAAAAGTCCAAAGCAGTGTCAACTTTAAAATTGATTAAGGAAAGCTAAAGAGTAGATTCATGTATCTCTCAATTGTTGTAGAACTAGCATCGAAACTAATTGAGAAACGAGTAATAACGTGGCAAAATATTTAAATGTGGTAATATGTAGGTATTTGCCGAATAGTGAAATATTTTAAGTTGAACCGATTTGGGGATAATGTTAGTCCCTGATATGATTTTCAAATTTGATACAGGGTCTAATAGGAGTATCTCCTTTTCGAAATGATTAATTTTTTTGAATTTCGGTTCTGGTAAAATTTTGTTTTATTAGACCAAACTTATTATATCCGTTGAAAAATGAGAAAAAATTCTGTCGTATCCGGCTTGCAATTCTTAAGCTATGAAAGATTATGTATACATGTAGCAAACGGAATAAGTCAGAATTTGGAATTAGAGTCACTGATGGAGTGCAGGATAAATGTGCCAAAGGGTTCTTAGAAATTCGAACTTTAAGATCACGAACAGTTTTAAAATTTTACTAAACTTCTAAAACGGTGCCATTTGGCATTATGTGAATGGTTGGAAAATAATTTTGGTATATGAAGGTAGTTTTGGAAATTTTTACTAGGTGTGAGAACTGTACTTAATTGCACTAAATTGGGAAAAGATTGGTTTAGGGTGAACGGATGAATCTGGAATTTTGAAATTTTGTATTGGCATCCCTGTTGATGGTTGGTTTATGATAAAGAGGTGGTTTTGGAAATGGTTACAAATGCATGAAAAGTACTAAACAGTACTGTATTGGTGCAATTTTGTATTGGTTAAACAGATAGTGCTCGAAATCTGAAATTTGGTATTAGTATCGCTTTTTTTGTGTAGCCTGGACATGTGAAGGGGGTTTTGGAAATGTGTACTATAATTGTACGTAAAGTACTGAATGGTACTATTGGGTGAGGAGATAAAGATGAAATTCTGAAATTTGATATTTAGATTACAGACGGTATCTGTATTTGAAATTTAGCGTTGGTTCGGAAATTCTACAAAAATAATTAAATGGTCGGTAATAAACAAATGTTGATATTGAGTTGCTGTTGGTATCTGGAATTGAGTTTTAGAAATGTGTACTATAATTTTTAAAAATAGTAAGTGGTACTAAATCGGGTAAAGGGATTGACATGGAATCTCGAAATTTTATTTAGATGTCAGTATTGGTTACTGTGGTTAAGATATGGAGATGGTTTTGGTAATAAATTTAGGATTAGTCTTATACTCAAGCTTCAGTCCCTAAATTTGATATTGAGTTCACTCTTGGTTTCAAGGATTTGGATATGATGGTGTCCAATTTTTATACCTCCACCATAGTGTGGAGGGTATTTTAAGTTTGTCATTTCGTTTGTAACACCTCGAAATATACATTTTAAACCCCACAAAGTGCATGTATTCTTGATCAGCATACAGTTCTATGCCGATTTAGCAATGTCCGTCGGTCTGTCCGTATGTCCGTCTATCCATCTGTGGAAATTTCTCTAGCTTCCGAACGAAGGCCTAAAGGGTTGCTTCGCTTGGCCGAAAGTGGTGAACTGCCGAAAAACAAACAAAACAAAATGATCGTGTTTACTTGCCAAAGAGGTCAGCTGAAAACTAAAATCTCCGGATACCAATCCGTTGGACTATTGTGTCTAAAATGTTTTGGAAAGCAAGGTAGGCAATAAAAAATAACAAAGTGTCGATCACCTCAGTCAAGCGCTTCGCCGGAAATGGGTCAAAATACCGCAGAGCAACATTCGGGTAGCGTGTGACTGTTTAATTGGCCGTTTGAAGGTCCATGAAACAGTCACACGCTGCCCGAATGTTGCCAGAGGTGACCAATTCGAACAAATCTAAACTTATTCTAAAATTTGATGCTATTTCCGACATTTTTTGCATTCATTCAATAAAATTTCACAAAAAAGTTAAAATTATGGCGTTCGACTTTGTTACAGTTTTTATATCTGGAGGACTTTTGGTATTGAAAGTAAGCCATGTAGGTCCACCTTTTTGTATAGCCCCATTTAACGTTACCTCCCTATTTTCGGAACTTTGATGATTTTAGCGACATTTTTCACCAGAATTATTTCAAATTTGATATTTGAAGTTCATAATGGGTACTACAGCCTATGACAAACACTTCTGTATGCAGGTCCACGTCTTCGTATAGCCCCCATATAACTGTACCCCCTATATTCGGTATTTTGAAGATTTTATTCAAGTTTCGCATATGAATATTCTAATGGCTTATGACAAGTGTTGCCTATGTAGGTCCACGTCGTCGTATAGACTCTAACATAACGGCTACATTCGGTATTTTTAAAATTTTAGCAGAATTATTAACGGTTTTTATTTTTTTGAAAATTGCCAAATTCGTTCCTAATGGTGTAGGGTATTCAAAGATCCGCCCGGCCGAACACAGCTTTTTTCATAACCTACAACACTATGTGTTGTGTATGTATGTGTTGTTGTGTTGTTCCAGATCTAGGAAGACCATAAATGTTGCACGTCATCTACCAATAAATTGGAAATGAGCAAATTAGTTTAAGTTGCTATTATTCGAAAATTAGAGAACTAAACCTGATGGTTTTCTTTTATTATTTGTCACAATATCTTGTGGAATTCTTTCGAGTATCTCGCCTATATAAACTGTATCGTTTATTATAGTGTTGTAGGGTATTCAACGGTCGGCCCCGCTCGACTGTAGCCTTTGCTTACTTGTTATATGTTTAATTTGGTATTTAAGGCTGCAAGAGATAACTATCCTTGTAGTATTAAGTTTGTCTACATAGATTCCCGTTTTGATATGGCCATCATATAAGGGCCTCACCCTCTTTATGCTTTTTTAAAAAAAAATGACTGCATTGTCTAAACGGTATTACTGGTATTTGGAGTTTGAAGCGGAACACGATTGAATTCAGACACTTTTATATAAATTTTTTTCTGTTGTTGCAAAATGGTAAAATATTTTTCTTTACCCAATTTTGAGGTTACTAAAATTTAGGCCCAGCCGAATTAAGTGTGGTTTTTCTTGTATTTTTTTTAACAAGCGAGAAACGTTTTAGCTCTCTTTAAGCTCTTTCCATAATTTTAAAGCTGACCTGATGCGAACTCCGTGTCAGCCAACGACTAGTACGAATTTATTTTCAATGAAGCAGTTAATTTGAAAATTAAGGAAAAAATTAATTATAATTTATTTGTATATAAATTTCTCGTTTCATTAAGCACAAATTGAATAATTATTAAACAAATCCAACAATAGAGGAACAAAAAATTTTAATCTGAATTCCTATAAATTTATCGATGTACTATGCAATAATCAGAAGTCTTCAACTTTCATCCGTTGCTAAAAGGACCAGCAATGAAGTTTCAATACTTTTCCTTATTTTTGTATTTGGTAATAACCATTGCAGTTGTTAAAGTAAGATCCTGAAAATATTGAAAATGAAACAGAACAAAATTTAGTGATATTCTCTATCTAGGCTGACAAAAAGAGCTTTACTGCTGCCATTGAAGCCTGCAGCAAGGACCATCCTATAACTGAAGCTGAACAAAGACAATTCTTCGAGGACAAAAATGCCGAATTCAGTGACACCTTTAAATGCCATATGAAATGCGTTTTGGAAAAGGAACATATTTTCAAAAATGGCACCCTAGACGAGGAGGCATTTATCAAGCACTCCCAGGAAAATCCAGCTCTTAATACGCATGAGAATGATATACATAAGACAATTGAAGAATGCAAAACTGTAAAGGGCGCGAACGAATGTGATACCATATTTAAGATTGTGAAATGTCTTTACGGTCATCGTACATTGTCTGTGCAGTAGGTTGCACAGAGTGAGAGAGAGAGTGGGAGTAAAAGAGGGAGTGGGAGTGGGAGTGAGAGAGGGAGTGGGAGTTTAGTTCTTGATATACCGAGTGAATACTTATTCTTATATATAATAATAAATTGTTTTGTGGTAATATTCTATTAAATTTTGAAATAAAATGCAAAATTACTAAAAAAAAAGTAAAAGCTGTAATTTCAGCCTTGCCGAACTTTTAATACCCTCCACAATTTGGAACGAATTTGGCAAGTTTCAAAAAAAAATCCATTAAAAATTCTTAGAATCTTAAAAATACCGAATGTAGCCGTTATATTAGAATCTATACGACGACGTGGATCTGCAAAGGTAACTTTTGTCATAAGCCATAAAGATATTCAAATGCAAAACTTGAAAAAAAATCGGTGAATAAAATCATTATTGGGGGCTATACCAAAACGTGAACCTGCAAAGACAATTTTCTGTCTTAGGCTTCACAATTCCTGTGAATAATATCCCTAAAATCATCAAAATACCAAATTTCAGGAGGTACCGTTATATGGGGACTATACGAAGACGTGGACTTGCACAGACAATTTTCTGCCATAGACTGTAGTATCCATTGCGAACTTCAAATACCAAGTTAGAAACAATTCCGGTGAATAATGTCGCTAAAATCATCAAAATTTCGGGAGGTACCGTTATATGGGGTCTATACGAAGACGTGGACCTGCACAGACAATTTTCTGTAATAGGCTGTAGTATCCATTACGAACTGCAAATGCGAAATTTGAAACAATTCCGATAAATAACGTCGCTAAAATCGTCAAAATACCAAATATCGATAGGTACCGTTATATTGGGGCTATACGAACCCGTGGGCCTGTACAGACAATTTTCTGACTTAGGCTGTAGTATCCATTGCGAACTTCAAATACGAAACTAGAAAAAATTCCGGTGAATAATGTCGCTAAAATCATCAAAATACAAAATTTCGGGAGGTACCGTTATATGGGGTCTATACGAAGACGTGGACCTGCACAGACAATTTTCTGTAAAAGGCTGTAGTATCCATTACGAACTGCAAATGCGAAATTTGAAACAATTCCGATAAAAATACCAAAATACCAAATATCGATAGGTACCGATATATTGGGGCTATACGAACCCGTGGACCTGTACAGACAATTTTCTGACTTAGGCTGTAGTATCCATTGCGAACTTCAAATACCAAATTTGAAACAATTCGGGTGAATAATGTCGCTAAAATCATCAAAATACCAAATATCGAGAGGGACCTTTATATGGGGTCTATGACTGACTTAGGCTGTAGTATCCATTGCGAACTTCAAATATCAAATTTGAGACATATGCGGTAAATAATCTCGTTTAAATCACCAAAATATCGAAAATAAGGAGGTACCATTATATGGGGGCAAGGATTGTCTGCAATTTAGAATTTGCCGTCGGCACATGTCTCAAAATATTTGCCAAATTTGAACCAGTCATATATCACTTAATATTGGGCTTATTTTTGGCACCTGTCAACGCTCACTCTGAAATCTAAAGACTAAAAGTCAAGTATTCCAAATGTAAAACAAATGCCAGACTAAGATAATTTGAGTGATTTGACAATTTTGGGAAATTTATGTTAGGTAGAACTTCGCTCTTGTGAAAAATTATCAATCTTGCCCAGACGTTATGGTTCAATTGAAAAATTTAATTTCAAATTATTTTGTGACCCATGCAGCATGAACCAACTGCTAGCTGTCTGCAAAATTCAAAATAATTGGTAAATATCCGAAATAACTGCCTGCTACATCACAAATACCATTTTAAGTGCTGAAACATTGGTGTGACATGACTACCTAAACAAATTTATTCACATATATAAGGGCTTAAATAATCAAAATAGAGTGAAAACCTCAGTGAAGTTCTTGGGATCAAGTCACAATGAATTTAAAATATATTCTAATATTTTCTCTATTTTGTGGAGCCGCATATATAAAGGTAAACGACTTGGAAACTATATACTCCTTATTCACAAGTATACAGTTTGTCAGAATGGAGATGGGTTTTTAGAAGGGACAAAGAGAGAGAGAGAGAGAGAGAGTGAGAAATTAACATTTAACCCAATCCTTTTTTCGCCAACTTTCCTGTCTGTATTCGAAAATAAATATTCGTTAATTAAATCAAAATTTTATTTTTTTTTTTCAGGCCGATTTGGACAGCCTCTCCTTGGCCATGAAGGACTGCCTGTTAAAACATTCCATAACCCAGAAAGAAATGGATATGTTTTTAGAGAACATGTATGCCAATGTTACGGAAAATTTTAAATGTTCTATGAAATGCGTGTTGGAAAAGGAAGGCATTATGAAGAACGGAACATTCGATGACAAAACCTTTGAGAAGAAAGCACTTTCTGTCTCTCTTCTGAAGGGTCAGGAGAAACAGGTTATACAAGCTGCCGAAAAATGCAAGAACATCAAGGGGTCCAACGATTGCGATACAGCTTACAAAATTGTACTATGTCTTTAGGAGACTCTAGCTTTTATGTTTTGAAATGTAATTACATTTTGAAATCTAACTTCAATTGTTCTATATATATATATATTTGAATTTATTGTGCAAATGAGAGAATATTAATGTGAACTTGAATGTGGTAAAATCAAAATATTGAATATGAGGAATGATTTCGTTTAACAATTCAGAGTAAAACGAGCACGGATATGACGGTATATATACACTACGCCACATAGTTGTAGGGTTATTATGTCTTTGTGCATTTGTTTGTAACATGAAGAGGGAAACGAGTTAAACCCATAGTAAAATAGAATCGCTTTCTGAGTCGATTTATGCATCTCCAACCGATTTCGGACTAATTGTGCACTAAATTGTCCGCCCCTCCGTCTGTCCATATTAATTTCGAATCACTCTACAGGTCGCAATTAGGGCCGATCCTCACTTAATTTAAAATGGAGGTAGGGCTATGATCAGAATAGAAGCCTATTGCTTTTGGAGATGATCGCAAAATATTTAGGGTTTCCGACGCGGAAGTTAGCATGGGGCTAGAGCATAGGGCTGGGCAGAATTTTTTTAATTTTGATGGTCATCGGGTAATATTTAGCGGGTGAAATATACCATAACTTTACTGTTAAATTAAAGTGAAATTTCCCACTAAACTGCGAATATTTTTAATCCGGGCGAAATTACAAATACGCGAAAAGATAAATTCTGACCGTTACGTTAATGCCGATTGTAAAAATATCGGATATATAGCGAAATATATACAATGTGTGTATACAAAGGAAAGGGATGTTAGCTAGAATGCTTATATCTTAATAATGGCTGGACCGATTTTGACAAACCTTTGCAATTCAGAATGTCCTCTTGCCATAAAAGAATAATAATAGTTAATATAGGTTTCGTAGCATTTTGTTATATTTTTATGATCAGAATAGAAGCCTATTGCTTTTGGAGATGATCGCAAAATATTTAGGGTTTGAAATGGGCCAAAAACTGAACATTTTCCTGATTTTGCAGTTGCTCTACAGATCGCAATTATAGACCATTCGACCATTGGGGCTAGAGCATAGGGCTGGGCAGAATTTTTTTAATTTTGATGGTCATCGGGTAATATTTAGCGGGTGAAATATACCATAACTTTACTGTTAAATTAAAGTGAAATTTCCCATTAAACTGCGAATATTTTTAATCCGGGCGAAATTACAAATACGCGAAAAGATCAATTCTGACCGTTACGTAAATGCCGATTGTAAAAATATCGGATATATAGCGAAATATATACAATGTGTGTATACAAAGGAAAGGGATGTTAGCTAGAATGCTTATATCTTAATAATGGCTGGACCGATTTTGACAAACCTTTGCAATTCAGAATGTCCTCTTGCCATAAAAGAATAATAATAGTTAATATAGGTTTCGTAGCATTTTGTTATATTTTATTTTTTTTTCTCATTTTTATCGCTTCGATTTTTTCAATTTGACTTATAATATTGAAGGACACATTTTGTAATATTTTTTCACTCTACAACACAGGTTGGGGTTATTATATACAGATTAAAATTATCGTTCGATCCTCACGAAAATTTTCATAGGAGTAGGGTTAGGCTCTGACGAGCTATGCCAATTGTTTTTAAAAATGTCCGCAATATATTTATGGATTGAAATGGACCAACAACTAAAAATTTTCCTGATTTTGCAGCCGTTATAAAAGTCACAAATAAAAACCAAAGGACCCGATATCTCACATGAAGTTAGAGTTTAGGACAGCGGGTAGAACGGACCACTACTTTTGTGTGAAAAAATACCAACATTTCCATTCTACCGAAACGCGGAAAACACATTAAAGGGGAAATCCAAAATACACAAAAGGCAAACTTCTGTTTTTTATGCTGATTTCGTTGACGAATATAGCCAAATATGGTAGACAAGCTAATCATATAGATGAGTCTAATTTTGCAGATACAGTGGGGCCTCTTGCTTTTGGAGATGATCGCAAAATATTTAGGGGTTCAAATGTACAAAAAACAGAACAATTTTCTGATCACACAATTAAAAAGAGAGGTAAGGATAGCGAAGAAGTCTAGCATTTTAGATGACCATTGGATCATACTTATCTGTAATGTCCCTGGTCAGAAAGCTCCGGCCAATTTTTGACTTTCCTCACTGTTTTTTCGTATTTATATATTTTATTTTTTTATACCCTACACCACATAGTGGTAAGGGTATTATGTCTTTGTGCATTTGTTTGTAACATAGAGAAGGAAACGAGATAGACCCATAGTTACTTTTGAGAACCTTCATAGAATCACTTTCTGAGTCGATTTATGCATCTGTCCATGTATTCTTGTGAACAAAATGCAGGTCGCATTTATTATCCGATTGAGATGAAATTTTCCAAACAATATTTTTTTGGCCCAAGGACGAACCCTATTGAAATTGGTGAGAATCGGATCAAATTTAGATATAGCTCCCATATATATCTTCATCCGATTTCGGGTTAAATGAGCACCAAATGTCCACTATCAGTCCAAATTACCTGAATTTTGGCACACCCAACCGGGTTCGGCCTAGAAGCAAGTATGTCAAATTTGGAGAAAATCGGTTCAGATATAGCTATAGCTCCCATATATATCTTTCATCCGATTTGATCTTTAAGTCCCTCACATTCCTACTATGCACTCCACAACCGTGATATTTGGTACCAGGTATTAGATGGAGCACAGAAATAGCTGTTTTAAATTTTATCAAAATCGGTTCAGATTTGGATATAGCTCCCATATATATCTTCATCCGATTTCGGGTTAATTGTGCTCCAAATGGCCGATATAAGCCCAAATGGACTGAATTTTAGTACATCGGACCAAATTCAGCCTAGAAGCAAGTATATCAAATTTAGTGAAAATCGGTTCAGATATAGATATAGCAACCATATATATGTTTCATCCGATTTAGTGTTTTAGTCCCTTACATTCGTAATGTTCACTCCACAACCGTGATATTTGGTACCAGATATAAGGTAAAGCCCAGAAATAGCTGTTTGTAATTTTATCGAAATCGGTTCAGATTTGGATATAGCTCCCATATATATCTTCATCCGATTTCGGGTTAATTGTGCACCAAATGGCCGATATAAGTCCAAATGGACTGAATTTTAGTACATCGGACCAAATTCAGCCTAGAAGCAAGTATATCAAATTTAGTGAAAATCGGTTCAGATATAGATATAGCAACCATATATATGTTTCATCCGATTTAGTGTTTTAGTCCCTTACATTCGTAATGTTCACTCCACAACCGTGATATTTGGTACCAAGTATTAGATGGAGCACAGGAATAGCTGTTTTAAATTTTATCGAAATCGGTTCAGATTTGGATATAGCTCCCATATATATCTTCATCCGATTTCGGGTTATTGACCACCAAATGGCCGTAATAGCATCAATTTTGGCAAATCCGACCGAAACCAGCTTAGAAGCAAGTACATCAATTTTAGTAAAAATCGGTTCAGATAAAGCTATAGCTCCCATATATATGTTTCATCCGATTTCGTCCTTAAATCCCTCACATTCGTAATATGCACTCCACAGAAATGATATTTGGTACCAGATATCAGATAAAGCCCAAAAGTAGTCGCTTTTAATTTTCTCAAAATCTGTTCCGATTTGGGTATAGCACCCATATGTATCTTCATTCGATTTCGAGTTAATTGTGCAACAAATCGCCAATATAAACCGAAATGGCATGAATTTTGGCATATCTGGCCAAATTCAGCCTAGAAGCAAGGATACCAATTTTAGTAAAAGTCGTTTCAGATATAGCTATAGCTCCCAAATATATCTTCATCCGATTTCGGATTAAATGTGCAGCAAATGGCTAATATTGGTACATCAAATTTAGTGAAAATCGGTCGGATACAGCTATAGCTCCTATATATACCTTTCATCCGATTTGTACTTTAAGTCCCTCAAATTCGAAAAATGTACGATACAAGAATAATATTTGGTATCAGATGCAGCCAAGAAATATCTTCTTTTTCAGTTTTACAAATATCGGTTCAGATTTGGATATACCTCCTATATATATCTTCATCCAATTTCGTGTTGATTGCGCACCAAATGTCCAATATCAGCCCAAATGTCCTGAGTTTTGGCAAATCTGACCGAATTCAGCCTAGAATCAAATACATCAAACTTGGTGAAAATCGGTTCAGATATAGCTATAGTTCGTAAAATGCACGATAGAATTAGATAGATTTTGATTTTGTACCAAATATCTCATAGAGCTCTGAAATGCTCTGTATAAACCTTTTTACGAGAGCCCCGCCCGACTTTTGAGCTTTCCTTACTGGTTTTTTTTATTTTTTTTTTTTATTTTTTTTTGTGATGGAGGTGCCAGAATTAGTAGACTAATGTTGTCCATTCTCGTATTTGTCCCCAGTTTTATTTGAGTATAACAATGTGCCATTCCACGGGAAGTATGATTATTCAAAATCTTGTCCCTCTGTGTGGGAGGTGCCCGAAGGAGTTCACGGATTTTTTTTATACCCTACACCACATAGTGGTAAGGGTATTATGTCTTTGTGCATTTGTTTGTAACATGGAGAAGGAAACTTTTGAGAACCTTCATAGAATCACTTTCTGAGTCGATTTATGCATGTCAGTCCGTCTGTCCGTCCGTCCGTCCGTCTGTCCATGTATTCTTGTGAACAAACTGCAGGTCGCATTTATTATCCGATTGAGATAAAATTTTCCAAACAATATTTTTTTGGCCCAAGGACGAACCCTATTGAATTTGGTGAGAATCGGATCAAATTTAGATATAGCTCCCATATATATCTTCATCCGATTTCGGGTTAAATGTCCACCAAATGTCCACTATCAGTCCAAATTACCTGAATTTTGGCACACCCAACCGAGTTCGGCCTAGAAGCAAGTATATCAAATTTGGAGAAAATCGGTTCAGATATAGCTATAGCTCCCATATATATCTTTCATCCGATTTGATCTTGAAGTCCCTCAAATTCCTACTATGCACTCCACAACCGTGATATTTGGTACCAGGTATTAGATGGAGCACAGAAATAGCTGTTTTAAATTTTATCGAAGTCGGTTCAGATTTGGATATAGCTCCCATATATATCTTCATCCGATTTCGGGTTAATTGACCACCAAATGACCAATATCAGCCCAAAAGGCCCGAATTTTGGCATATGTGACCGAGATTAGCCTTAAAGCAAATACAACAAATTTGGAGAAAATCGGTTCAGAGACAGCTATAGCTCCCATGTATATGTTTTGTCCGATTTGGTGTTTAAGCCTCTCACATTCGTAATATGCACTCCACAAGAATGATATTTGGTACCAGATATAAGATACAGCCCAGAAATAGCTGTTTGTAATTTTATCGAAATCGGTTCAGATTTGGATATAGCTCCCATATATATCTTCATCCGATTTCGGGTTAATTGTGCACCAAATGGCCGATATAAGTCCAAATGGACTGAATTTTAGTACATCGGACCAAATTCAGCCTAGAAGCAAGTATATCAAATTTAGTGAAAATTGGTTCAGATATAGATATGGCAACCATATATAAGTTTCATCCGATTTAGTGTTTTAGTCCCTTACATTCGTAATATTCACTCCACAACCGTGATATTTGGTACCAGGTATTAGATGGAGCACAGGAATAGCTGTTTTAAATTTTATCGAAATCGGTTCAGATTTGGACATAGCTCCCATATATATCTTCATCCGATTTCGGGTTAAATGTGCACTAAATGGTCAATATCAGCCCAAATCACCTGAATTTTCGTACATAAGACCGAATTCAGTCTAGAAGCTAATACGTCAAATTTGGAGAAACCCGGTTCACAGATAGTTATAGTTCGTAAAATGCACGATAGAATTAGATAGATTTTGATTTTGTACCAAATATCTCTTAGAGCTCTGAAATGTCCTGTATAAACCTTTTTACGAGAGCTCTACTAAATATGCATAGTGGTGTTGGGTATCATATAGTCGGCCCCGCCCGACTTTTGAGCTTTCCTTACTGGTTTTATTTTATTTTATTTTTTTTTTTTTTTTTTTTTTTTGTGATGGAGGTGCCGGAATTAGCAGACTAATGTTGTCCATTCTCGTATTTGTCCTCAGTTTTATTTGAGTATAACAACGTGCCATTCCACGGGAAGTGTGATTTTTCAAAATCTTGTCCCTCTGTGTGGGAGGTGCCCGAAGGAGTTCACGGATTTTTTTTTTCATTATCTCATCTGTTCTATGTCCCTCTCATTGCTTTTTAAAAGATAAATTATGTTCTTTGGGCCGATTTTGCGTATCTCCGAATCCGATCTAAGTTTTATGAAAATAGTATAATCGACCAAGTTTGGACGAAATCGAATACTCCCCTTAAGAGTTATCGTGCGAATAGGCAGGCAACACTATATACCCTGAAACTTATTTCGTCCAAAGAGACGTGGACCTTAAAACCGTTATTTTGATGAGACGAATTTCGACCGTAACAAATGATTTATACCTCCAGTAGTTATATTTGTGAGGGAGTAAAACGACAGACAAATAGTGGGCTTTTGAACATTCTGAAACTGAACTGTTGTCACTGCTAATACCAGTGTAGTTTTTTTTCTATAAAAACCTATAACATGTCAATCAAATTCAAACTTGAAACCAACATTTAAAATTTGGCAGTTTGTACATTTCAAGGTCCCCTGAAATTAGCCTAAAGTCAATCACACTGATAATCGTTTTAGTTGACATTTTCAATTAATAGTAAATTTAAATTAGCAATAAATTGGCATTTAAATGTTGGCCAATCATTGCGAATTTATTCTAGCACGGAAAATACAGTTCATAGAGATTTAATATAAATATGGATTTAGGGAGAAGGTTGCCAATAAACATAGGCTCTCAAGTTTATATTAAACGTCGATTTTTGTAAAACGAATTATGAAGCTTTTGCATTTTGTGCTGTTTTATATCCTGTATGACATCACGGGGGCAAAGGTAAGTTTTCTAAAGCATTTCTCGTATTTACACAGTTTAACTAAAGATCCTAATCGACTGTAAGAGTAGTTTTCGAAAATGTGATGGGTGCTTTCAGGCATACACGTTTGAAATCATAAGAAAGTCGTGAAAACATAGTTAGATCATTGAGGAAAGAGGAAAAAATTTCAAAATAATTTTTTCCAATACACTAAATTTATCCAAGTTTAGGCAAGATTTCCAGCAGACACGATAACAGAATCAAAAACATTTATAGAAAAATCCATTATATAAACACATTTTATATCAAATTTCGGTTCCTACAAATTTGTTTTTTCATAAGAAATAAATTTCCTTCCAAAACCTTCCCTTCTAGGCCAACATGGATGCCATTTTAAATGCCATGAAGCAATGCAATGATAAATTTCCAGTATCCCAGGAAGAAATGGAGAAGCTTATGCACGAGGTGCATGATGACGTCAGTGATAATTTCAAGTGTCACATTAAATGCATCATGGAATTGGAGGAGACTTTTGAAAATGGAACATTTGTGGACGAGAACTTTGTGAAAGAAGTTATGGAAGTGCCGTTGCTGAAAGATCATCAAGCTGACATCAAAACTGCCACAGACGAGTGCAAGAAGCAGCACGGGCTCAACGATTGTGATACAGCCTATGAAATAGCAATGTGTATTTATGGACGACTTCCTGAAGAGTTGGCAACTGGATTGCTGTCAATGTTGTGAACAATATTGTTTCCACAAGAGAATACAATTCTATACTAATCTATTAATTTTAAATTATATATTATATTATTGAATAAAAGAAAACGATTGCTGGACATTATCTACAAATCGAAAATAAAACAAGTAAGCAAAGGCTACAGTCGAGCAGGGCCGACCGTTGGATACCCTACAACACTATAATAAACGATACAGTTTATATAGGCGAGATACTCGAAGGAATTCTACAAGATATTGTGACAAATAATAAAAGAAAACCATCAGGTTTCGTTCTCTAATTTTCGAATAATAGCAACATAAACTAATTTGCCCATTTCCAATTTATTGGTAGATGTTGCACTTAAATGGTCTTCCTAGATCTGGAACCAATATTTCCCAAATACCTATAATCTTTCAGAAGTGGCAAAAAATGAACATTTATTAGTGGTTTTTGATTGAAACGCATCTATATGAGATACAGACATTTGACTATATTCTTCAACGAAATCAACGTTAACGAAATAGTCAGAAGTGAATTCTCCAAAAAGTCACTGGAATGGACATTTTCGTATTTTGTCTACAAAAGTTGGCAAACTCCTTCACACATTGAATATTTTTGGAAGGCCATCCAAAACTGCTTGGTTTTTGCAATGTCCGGTAACCCCCATTCAAATGTGCGTGAGGATCGGGCGATAATTACGACCTGCTGACAATTTTGCAGTTTTTTGGTCCATTTCAACCCCTAAATATATGGCGATCATCTCCAAAAAGAATAGGCTTTTATTCTGACCCTCATCTTATCTCCATGCAAAACTTCGTAAGCATCGGGCCATAAATGCGATCTGTATATGATATCCTGATATCCTAACTACTTAGTTTTGTTAGCTTTAGAAATATTACAAAACGTTTAATTCAAAATGAAAATATGCCAAAAATATGACAAAATTGAAAAAATATGAGAAAATTTTACAAAATCAATATTTTCATCTTTAGAGAGATATTTTTATGCGATTTTTTTTAGACGTTTTTTCTTTCCTGCCAAGAGGCCATTCTGAATTAATGAAATCTGTCGAAATCAGTTCAGCCGTTCTCGACATATAAGAGATTTTTCAAGCATATCTTCTTTGATAAACATATATAACGCACATATTTTGCTATATATCCGTTTTGTTGGATGTTAACATCAATGTAAAGATCAGACGTAACCTTGTCATGGCTTTGTGATTTCGCCGGAATTTAAAATATTCGCGGTTTAATGAAAAATTTTGAATTTTTTCAACAAAAAAGATATGGTCTATTTTACCCGCTAAATATTACCCGATGACCACCCAAATGGGTAGGCTTCTTCCCCGCCCTAAACTCTAGCTACATGCGAAATTCCGCGTCTATTGGTCTATAATTGCGACCTGTAGAGCAAGTGCAAAATCAGGAATTTTTTCAGTTTTTGGTCCATTTCAACCCCTAAATATTATGCGATCATCACCAAAAGAAATAGGGTTCTATTCTGACCCTAGCCCCACCTCCATTTTAAATTTCGTGAAGATCGGACCATAATTGCGACCTGTAGAGTGATTACAAATTAACATGGACAGACGGACAGACGGACGGACGGACATACATAGCTAGATCGACTCAGCTCGGCGAGATAGGAAGATCCATATATACTTTCCTATGTGGGAAATCAATATTTCGTGGTGTTACATAATTTTTGGCCCAATCAAACTTATAATACCCCCAACACATAGTGTTGTAGGGTATAATTATGTAATAAAAGTTTGGGTGATGAAAATTTCTTGTAAGTATTCAAAAATTTTATTGGGTATAATAAAGCCAGAAATGAAAAAAAATACCCTATAGGTCAAATTTCTGAGCGATGTAAAGAGTAGTTTTTTGATTGCAACCCTATAGGGCATAAAAAAATCAACTTTGTATCTACTTGTAAGAAAAGTACTAAATAGTAAAAAACGGAAATCCTAAAATTTTATTAAAATCTCACTGTTTATGGCTGTGGTTAACATATGAAGATGTTTTGTACAGGGTGAGATAAAAAAACTGCAACCAACTTCAGACTGCTGTCATTTCTAAGCCTTTCGTCCGACAGCTTTTAAAATTATTCCATTGACAGCTCATTATGTTGGTTACAAGCGTACAAAAGCATTTCGGTGAGAATTTTCCAGAAACAAAGTTATTCGTGATGGAATTCAAGCGTGATGGTGTGATTTCATTATGTTTGGCTGGAAAACCACAAGTGGCTCTAACCAGAGCACTCCAGCATTTAAATGTGAATAAATCTTTTGTATCTCGTACCATCGCTCGTTACCGTGATACTGGTAGCGTAGCCTGACGTCAAGGAAGTGGACGGAAGAAAACAGCAACATCAGCGGAAATGGTTCGAAAAGTAAAGAAGCGACTTGATCGAAAACCGCGTCGCAGTGGCCAAAAAATGGCTCGTGTGCTGAACATCTCGTAATATTCCATTCGGCAAACATTGAAAAATTAGTTCGGGATAAAGCCATTGAAATTCCAAAACGTGCATGAACTTTCACAGCAAAAGAAAGAAAATAGACTCAAAAGATCTAAAAATTTTCTTCGCTTGGCCGAAAGTGGCGAACTGCCTAGTTTGGTGTTCTCCGATGAGAAGACATTCGTTGGGCAGCAGTTTGTAAACAAACAAAAATGATCGTGTTTACTTGTCAAAGAGGTAAGGTGAAAATGTGCACATTTGGTTGGCCACCAGAACTCTTGCGCCGGCCATGGAGATGGTGTGGGCCGCCATAACAGGCGATGATCGCTCTCCTCTCGTATTAATCGACCGTGGCATCAGAATAAATACCGAATAATATCGCGAAAATATTCTGGAGAGAGTATTAAAGCCTCGCAAACATATAGGCCGCAGACATTGTTGGACAATCCAATAGAACTCAGAACCATCGCACTCAGCACGCGCCACCCAAGAATGGCTAAAAAAGGAGTTTCCTCGCTTTATTTCTAGCGCACAATGGCCACCAAAATCTCCGGATACCAATCCGTTGGACTATTGTGTCTGGAGTATTTTTTGAAAGCTGGGTTGGAACTAAAAAATACCAAAGTGTTGATCACCTCAAGCAAGCGCTTCGCCGGGAATGAGCTAAAATACCGTAGAGCGACATTCATTGCCCGTTTCAAGAACATAATTCGTGCCAAAGGTGAACAATTTGAACAAATCTAAACTTTTTCTAAAATTTGATGCTATTTCCGACATTTCTAGCTCTCATTCAATAAAATTAAAAAAAAAAAACTTAAAAATTATGGCGTTTGACTTTGTTGCAGTTTTTATCTTAACCTTTTAGATCCCTGATATTGACTTCAAAGGCCCCCATTGCCGGAATAATATGCGGAAATTGTTTCGACGTATTTTCCGATGGGGGACGTAAATTTCTCCCTCTTACATATTTCCTAAGTTTTTTCGATTATGATTCCATGGAAATTTCCTGATATTCATATAAAAGGTCCCCAAAGCCGAAATATACTTTCCATAGGGATGATATGTGGCACAAGATGTAAGCTACTTTGTAAATTTTTCCGATATCGGTTGAGATAGAAGGGATAGTATCCTTCCTCTTCAAATTTCTTGAATTTTTCGATGGATTCCAAGAATTTTATTTTCTTCTTGATAAAGAATTTTATTTTGATAGAGAATTTTAGCCCTCAGGCGAGTTACTAAAGGGGTCTTTTTGTCCCTTTTTTTCAGAATATGGTTAAAAACTTCCTTTAAACGGAATCTTAGCAGGTATAAATATTCTTTGGAAAAAAAGAAATTTCCTACCATTTTAGTATTATTTTTCAGCCGGAATGGCTGTCCTTTGGTGTGTCAGATTTTTTAAGAATACTAAATTTGATAAAGTATTAAACAGAGAAGTTAAGACAGACATAAGTGTGTATACAGTAGAAAAATAAGGTCGGTCGTCGACATGCTGAGCAAATATAATTTTCAATTATTTTATGTAAAATTAATATCACAATAATTTCACATATATGAGCCTTATTCGCGTAACTGGCGAAGTTAATGGCCTAAAGTTCTGTAATCAGCAAATATTTTGTTAATTGTATGAGTCATTTCAAATTTTTAAATTAAATATTTATAACCGATTTGAAAAGTCATTGAAAATGATTTTATTATTACTTTATGAAATTGGCTGACAGGTATTTAAAAAGTACAACAAATCAAAATTTCTGAGGTATAAATTCCCAAACATCCCGGTACTTTCTTGACAATTGAAATTGTTTACCTTTTGATATATGATGTTATTCTACTGGACATTGTGTGTTTTGATTTTCTTCAGCTGGGTAAGACTGCAGATATTTTTAAGGCATTATATATTTGTATATATTTTTTTTTAATTTTTAATTTTATTGGAAAATTTTAAAATTCCGATATCTTCCATTTGATTTTAGTCTCACCCTTGCCATGCCATGCCCAACAAATGTCTCAAGGAATTTCCCTTTTCTATGGAGGATGCTCCAACTACACTAGAAGAATATGTCAATGCCAAGGAAGATTTTCAATGTTACATCAAATGCACCATGGAGGAAATCAATACATTCTCCAATGGTGAATACCGACTTGAAAATGCAAAAAAAAGGTGGGAAAATAATCCAGTTACAAAAAATCACATACCTCAAATGGAGGAAATAGCCAAAGAATGTGCAATTCTAAAGGGGACCAATGAGTGTGAAACGGCTCATTTAATTAACATCTGTTTGTTAAAGAATTTTATTAAAGCCATACCTGATTTGCAACGAGTTTATGGAATACATTAATAACTAATAATATTAGTATGTGTGTTTTTTGATAATAAATAATAAAAATTGCAGCATTATAAATATTTAACTTTTTTTAATTATTGAGCACAATATTCCAGAATGTTTGTAGATGTCGTCCAAATATAAACTACTGGCAAGTGTACGACACTTCGTCAGCGAAAGCCCACCTAAAAATTTTATATTCGTTCCAAAAGTTAGGTCTTTTTAGTACACCAAAAGCACAATATGTTCAGTTTTATAATAATTTCTTCATCCAACATTAAATTTAGTCCTATTTAGTACTTTTCGTACAATTATAGTACATATTTCCAAAACTACCTGAATACTCACACAGTCGCCAGCAGTGACATCTATATCAAAATTTGGGATTCCATCTCTATTCCTACACCCAATATCCAAAATAGTACTATTTAGTACTTTTCGAAAAATTATAGTACACATTACTAAACCCACCTGCATATCTTACCCACAGACACCAACAGAGACCTCAATATGAAATTTCGGACTTTCAGCGCTTCTCCAACTCTTGTACTCTTCGTACAAAACCACCTTCATATCTCATTTCCAGATACCAACATCTCTATCCTTTCACCCAATGTTGAACTTAGTACCAATTAGTACTTTTCGAACAATATTATATTACTAAAACCTACTTCATATTTTAACCACGGACACCAACAGCGACAGAATTTTAGGATTTTAGTCAAATTCCCTCCCCAAATACCAAGATTAGTACTATTTAGTACTTTGCGAAAAAGCTATATTGCGAATTTCCAAACCTACCTCCAAATCTCTATTCCCGATAGCAACAATGACATCTATATCAAATTTCAGGATTTTTGGTCTATTCCTTCACCCAATTTCAAATTTTGTATTTTTTTAGTACTTTTCGTACAATTATAGTACACAATACCAAAACCACCTCCATATTTTAACTCCAGATACCAATATAGAACTTCATATCAATTTTTGGGATTCAGGCTCTATTCCTTCACCAAATATCAAATATAGTACTATTTTGTACTTTTCGTAAAACATTGGACGCATTTCCTAAACCACCCCCATACTTCACCGCAGGCATCAACAGTGACATTTATAGCAGATTTAAGGATTTAAGATCTGTTTCTCAACCAATACTAAATTTTGTACAATTAAGTACATTTCATACAATATAATACACATTTCCAAATCCTCCCCCATACCTTACCAATAAACACCAACAGAGACCTTAATATCAAATTTCGATTTCCATATCGAGTTTAGTACAAATTAGTACTTTTTGTACAAATTACGACGCATTTCCTAAACCACCTCCATATCTTATCCACAGACACAAAAAGTGATGCATTCATCAAATTTCAGCTCTACTCCTTCACCCAATACCAATTTAGTACTATTTTGTACGTTTCGTACAATTTCACATTTTCATTACATTTCGCATTTCCAATACATTTCGCATTTTCGTATTTCGCAAAACCACCTCCTCATCACAAACCTTCCACCAACAGGGATCTCAATACAAAATTTCAAAATTCCAGCTTCATATGTTCACCATAAGCCTTAAACTGGTCAAAATTTGGTACGAATTAGTACTTACTTTCCATCCTTGATTCTTATACCAAATTTCAAGTTTTTAGCTCTATCCGTTCACATAAGACCAAATGGTACTAATTTATAAGTTTTGTACCATTTTAGAATTTTGTGTAACCTCAAAGTTCCAATTTCCAGAAGCGTTTCGTTACTTCCATCCTTCACCCCATCGGTGACTCGCATTCTTCGAAATTCCCTCCTCTTTTGCTCACCCTTAACCAAATTGTTCCATATTTTGTACCATTTAGTACAGTTCGCACATTTAGCACACATTTTCAGAACCACATTCATATATCTCAACTTACCTTCCAACCTTGATTTTCATACCACATTTCAAATTTTTAGCTCTATCCGTTCACATAATACCAAATGGTACCGTTTAAAAGTTTAGTACCATTTTAGAACTTTTCGTAAGTTTAAAAATCAAATTTCCAGAAGCGTTTTGTTACTTTCATCCTTCACTCCATCAGTGACTCGTATTCCAAAAAATACCAAAATTACCGCTTCATCCGTTCCCCAAATTTAGTACCATTTTAAACCAAAATGTTCCAAATTTAGTACCGTTTACATTTTTCACACTTAGTACACATTACCAAAAGCACCTTCATATATCTCAACTTACCTTCCAACCTTGATTCTCATACTAAATGGCAAGTTATTAGCTCTATCCGTTCACATTATACCAAATGGTACCGTTTTAGAAGCTTAGTACCATTTTAGAACTTTTCGGAAGCTTAAATCTCGGATTTCCTAAAAGCCTTTGGAACATCTATCCTACACTCGATCAGTTACCTCATTCCTAATTTCAGAATTCTAGCTCATTCCGTTTGTCCAATACTTTCAATTTTTTTTCGCTTTAGTACATTTCGTACCCTTTTTGTACGAATTTCCAAAAACCCAGCCTTATCACATGCTTAAGTACCAAGACTGACCCTTCGGTTTTGTAGTCGCACGTGCTCACCCTATGCCACCTTTAGCCATTACTGGGTAGAATGAAAGTAC